TGTTTATTTAAATTAACATATATTTTTTTTAATGTATCAAATGATATATATTTACTATTACTAAATAAATAAAATTTATATATTATTAGTATTTTAATATTACTGATAAATTAATATCAATAATATTTTTACCCTTTTTATAAATAAACTAATAATTTGATAAATATAACTTAATATATATTAATATACTTTTACAAAAATATAAATATATAAGATCAGATATATATTTCTAATTAATATACTTATATTTTTGTAAAAGTATATTAATATATAACAAGTTATATTTATCAAATTATTAGTTTATCTATAAATATATTAATAATATTATTGATATAATATCGAAAATTATAATATACGTTAATTTGAATAGATAAATAATTATTTAATTTTAAAACTATATATATATATATATATATTAAAATTATTAATTTTTAATGGGAGAAACAAAAATCATACTATTATGATATTTGAGGGACTAAAATTGTTCAATTAAAAATTGAAGGACCAAAATCGCGCAATTGCAATTCTTTAAGGACTAAAATTATGCAATTAAAATCTTGGAGATCACAAAACTGCACAATTGTAATACTTGAGGGATAAAAAATGCAATTAAACCAATATTCTTAATTAATTTTATTAAAAAATATAATAATTAATAAGATAAAAGGAATATCACTTTATAATTTTTTGCAACTTATTTAAGATTAAAGGAATAAAATGATAAAAATTAATAAGATAAACATAATAAAATAAAATATAAAAAAAATATTAATATATTTATTTTATTGGATATAATAACATAATTAAAATATAATTAATAATATATATTTTATAAAATTATTAATATTTTATATATAAAAAAATAAAATAAAACCGGAACGACCTGTTCTGAAACTGGAACGGGCCGTTCTGGTGCATTTTGGGTGTGTTAATTTTGCACTTGGAACGGGCCGTTCCGGATGCAAAATTAACACACCAAAAGTGCACCCAGAACGGCCCGTTCCGGTTTCAGAACGGGCCGTTCTAGGTCCAGGTGTTTTCAAAAAAATTCTCATCCACGTGGATGCCACGTATTCATCTACGTGGATGCCACGTATTCATCTACGTGGCGTCCACGTGGCCAAAAGTTAACACCGTTAAAGCAATTTGGACGGAAAGTCCCACATTGAAACCAATTAATTAATTTGGGACCAAAAATTGATGAGAGACTAAATTGAAACAAAAAAAGATTATAAGAGACCAAAATAGGGTTTTAACCAAGAACCTAAATAAGGAGAAACTAAATAATATTTTAGACGTGTAAATTTAAAGTATAAAAATAAATAATTAGCATAAAAATATTTTTTAAAGGAATTATTTGTTTTATAATTATGATTTTAAAAATATTGTATAATTTTTTAATAATTTTAAGAAAAGTAAATACTTACCGAAAAAAATGTAACTATATAAATAAAAACTAAACTATGAGTGTTTAAAGATGGAATTAGAATCTAACTCTTACTTTTAAAAATAACACTTAACCACTAATGAATTTATATAATATATAAATGAAGGTTATATAT